AGCTTAGCAAAGTCATATTAAAACATTTTTTGACAGATTGCTGAGCGCTGTGTACCACATAAAATCGGTTCGCGGTCAGTAAGCACAACCAGAATTCATACATAAGGCGCACTGTCGAGTTTTGAGAAAATGAAAGGATTTTAGGCCGTGCAGCCCCTCCGGGCTGCATGTCGTTAGCTCGTTAGCTCGTTAGCGCGGCTAGCTCGCTAACACGTTGACGCCGTCCAGCCCCACGCACGGTAACTCGCTAACGGAGATTTTCCGCTTTCATCTTGTCATTGCCTGCAGGTGAAGCTATGGGGGAGGCGGAGTAGTGTTCAGTGAAGGAGAGGCGAGGCCGAGTAACGTTGCGTAGAGACAAAAGTGGACGAAAGAGAGGCAAACCTGCGGCCCCACAAGTATAAATATAACGTAACATAGACTATATCGATATAAACGATATTGTCACATCTTATATCTCGTATGAAAATATATCGATATTTTTAAAAAACTCGATATATCGCCCAGCCCTAGTTTGGGGTATCCAGTTTTATGTTTTCTAAAAAGTGTTTCACACATTCATACAGTGCTTTAGACTCTATAGTTTAAACACTTTACCTCGCATGCATGTTCACTTAAGAACCACCTGGTAATCTAATAAGCATTTTTTTGGGCAGTGGGAAGGAGCCAAAAAAATCATGAGAAAACCTACACTGGCCCAGGGTACAGTGAACATTCTAGGAGAACATGGAAAACCCCACGATCCTCTACATAGAAATCACTTAAGCCACAGATCAAAGTGAGATTAATTTGGCGGTGTGACGTTGTAGCCATGCTAACCACACCTTCCCTAGCTATTTCAGTAGCTGCCAGGGCGAAGAAGAGGTGTGCAGGGTACAGCCACACAAATGCAATAAATATGTAGGGGAGCACAATAAACATGAGCTTCCCATGTTTGATCGTGCACACAGGGATTATTTTGTCCACGATCATTTCATTCAATTTAATAACAGTAAACAGTAACAAAGTGCTCTGTATATTAAGCCCAGTATACCTGGTATGACAGTGGAGGTCAAAGGCTGCACTGTGTAACCCTGGATAGGATACTGCAGAGGAGAGTTAGGCAAGGCAAACAACAGTCTGGACAGTACAGAAGTTGTCCTGTTGAAGAGACGAGGTGTGAGCAGAGGAAAAGACAGATTACCTTCTTGACTTATAACATGAAATGCAATTGTTCAATTTCTGTCATTTATATTTCACACACACACACACACACACACACACACACACACACACACACACACACACACACACACACACACACACACACACA